CAGAGGTTAGACGAGATCGTCAGGGAGATTGGGAAAGTCAAGGACAAGCAGTACCTAGGCTTCATTTTCAATTAGTTTAACTACATCTACATCACAATGGAAGGAGCCGATCGTGCGTATGCATCCACGTTCAGGCAAAGAATGGATGACATTCTGCATACAAACGTCGAGTCAGCACATGACGGAAGCACCCCATGTGCCTCACAGCGCAATTCACCAGAACCTGCACTAGGACCGCAGGATTCTGCATCGCAAGTTGGAGGACCAGCGTCCCCAACCCCATCACTCTTACCCGCCTATGTTCCCCCCATCTGGGAATTTGACGGACACCAGTTCGAGCATCTAGAAGATGCGCTCAGACAGTCCGCTCCTGGAGAAGTCCCGAACCACATCCGCGAATGGGTTATCATGGCAATGAAGCTCACAGTCAGTACCGAAGTCGCCAAGGTCTACAATGTGCTCGGAAACAAGATGTACGAGCACAAGAAAGCCTTCGAGTCACTGATCCAAAACAACAAGAGCGAACATCGACTCAAAGAAGGAATGCTCCAGACAGAGATCGGGAAGCTCAAGGATAGGATCCTCGCGCAAGATGCACATATGACAGTTTTGAATGATGAGCTCACGGGAACCCAGGCAGCAATGCTCGATACGGGCAAAGAAATGATGGAAATCAAGGCAGCTAACGTCAAGCTGCGACATGAGCTAGCTTCGCTCAAAGCAAGCGGTGTCACTGTGACACAAGGTCAAACGTCCGGCACGGTCCAATCGCACAAACCCCGCATCAAAATTGCTGAGCCTCCACACTACTCAAGCAAAGGAAGTCTGGAGGATTGGCTCCAACAACTCGGTATATGGATGCAGTGGAACGAGATCAATGACGATGAGCACAAGATCACCACGGCCCTGCTGCATTTGGAAGGTGGCGCGTTCACATACATGTCTGAATATGCAACCAGAGCAGCAGCACGGCAGGCACTTGGCACATGGGAAGACTTCGTCAACATTCTCAAAGTGAACTACAGGACCCTTGACCCGGACAAAGATGCGCAGCAGCATTTGAAGGATATCTGCGGCAAGACGTATCCCACAATGGTATCCTTCACAGAACAGTTCCGTCAATGGGCCACTAAGACCAACTTAGGGCACACTGCACTCATC